AGGCACGCACGAAACCGACAACCATAAATCAACGAGTCAGGGATGACTCGTAACCTTCCGAGCCGTCGAAATTGGGCTTTCTACTACTGTGCTGCGTTTTCCGCCACGCACGCGCACTAGATGCTAGGCTTCTGAAGTACTGATGGAACTGGCGAGTGCGAATTAGACCCAAACTGAGGACGTCAACATCGGAAAGTAGTAGAAGATGAGCCCGCAGGTGCGAGGCCTAAGATTCGGAACGTAGACACGCGTACATGGAGTCTAGACTTGAGCGTCGATGTGCTACTCAGGTACGCAAACTCCCCGCCTTGGACCGTACGAGCTCCAGGTGGTCGGGCTCACCTCGCAACCTCGAGGGTCCTGTCGCAATAAGTAAGCGACGTTATGTATCAAAGGAATCAATGCGACGCACTCAGAGGTCCCGATCGAACAAGACCAGAGTCCTTTGTATGAGCGGAACTAGATCACTTGCTTGAAATAGGGAGTCTTCGTCACCGGGCAGCGGCGAACACCTCGCTCTGCCAACACCCAGAACTTGTCGCCGAATGTCCGCCATCGCACGTAAATGCTCTTCAATGGCGGTATGCACCTTGTCCTGCAGAAGGGAACAGTTGAGACGCAGGCCAGGCCAAGAGGACAGAGCAGAGCGCTCGCTCTCGGCCAAGGTGACATGAAGAGAGTCGAAGTAGTCGTCGAACGTCTTGCGAAGCACCTTGGGCGCCTCCAACTCGGCAGCCAGATGAGGTCCGCGCAACAACGTCGTGAGGATCTGGAGACGTTGGAGGCTGCCCTCCAGGGCGCTGTTGCTCTCGTTCATGAGCATCATGCCATCTTGGTAACGATGAAACTCGGAGCTGAACAATTCATAGAGGGGTGCGGGGGGGCGTGGTCCGATGGCAAGTGGCAGAGACGACGTTGCGACTGATTTGGCGTACTCTGTGACACCGTAGGACAGCATATGCTCAGCAACCCTGGCGCTGGGGGGTGTTAGTGACGAGAAAGACTTCAGGAACGTGACGACGAACCGATGGTAGGTCAGCGCGATACGTTTGTATAATCGTACAAGCTGCTGACGAAGAGCGTGTAGATCTCCCTCTATGTCCCCCGTCGCGTTCAGAGACGGGGATTCCAGGGACTTCACACGCGCAAATGCGACCTGAACCGACAAAACATCGTCTGCCAGCTGTGCAGCAGTTGGTGCATGATCCGCCAGTGCCAGTATCCCGGACACGTGCAGATCGAGCATGGAGCGAACGTCCTCCGGACACAGGGACTGCGATGTCACCAGGAGCTGTACGAGCTGGGTCTTCAAGAGACTGGCCAGGAGTGCCAGGGCCAAAGCTAGCCAGAAGATGCTGTTCGGAACGTCAGAACATGGGTCAATCGGGAAGAAGAGCGATACGTACCGGGACATTGTGAAGACAGGACGGACTGCACTTGAACTGAAAATGGGATCGATCTGACATATATAAGACAAATACCATCATCTCTCACGGGCGGGTAGCTGCCTCGCGCGGCGCTAAGGGCTGGGAACCGGCCAACTTGCGTATCAGAGCCCATCGCTAGACCAGACGTATAGCAGAAGATAGCCTTGGGATTAGGATTGATCCCTTGGTGTGAATGAAAGGGACACAGATGGGCTGGCTCCAATGCCGTAGCGCGGGAGCCCAGTCTCAGCAAGCCGGGTCTTCTGTAGGGCACGTTCCTATAGAACCGTATGGCCCGCGTGTGTTGGGGATCGGAGCAAAACGCGTGTCTCTCAGGAGTGTGCTAAAGAATGCTGTCGCCCCGATCGTCATTACCGAAAGTGACAACATGGAGGCGCGAGGGTGGTACAGATAGCCGTGCCACGAGTTCGGATACTGCCGAACATGTACTGGCTGGACTGTCGCCGCGTTAGGGACCGAGGTCTAGCTTTGCTGCGCGGACGAGCCGCACGACCAGGATGTCGGCAGGTACCTTCAATCTTTCGGCAACATCATGTCTCGTGTCGCAAAACCAACTTTCTACGGACTCTCCGGCTACACCTTTCGATGAGCGGTGTGTATCATACGTCGTGCTACTGGCACCTTCTTCAGTTCCAAATTCCAGCATGGCCCACACATGACTTGAGCGCATATCGACTCCAGGGGCTACCAGGCGTTGTTTTGAGATGAGTCTAGCAGGGCGCTGCGAAGCTTGAGCACAGCGAGATTGCCTGAAGGGAGTCCTAGACGCACTACTTCGAGTCTAGACGCAAGATGTCGGAGGAGTATGCCAGAGATCTGTCAAGTAAGTGTTAGTAGCGTGATTGATAATACGTGGGGGGACGAACGTCTCCCAGGGCTCGTTGGAACGCCCGGCCCGGTCAATAGCTAATGTCCACGCTCCTCGCCCGGTCCTGAACCATATTCGTACCCGCCCTTGCGCTTGACCGAGTGTATCGCTCCAGACTAGGAGAAAACGTAACGACTGGCTTTCTTGACAGCTGTTGACCCATCGCTTCGTGATCGATGTCTCGTCGTCCGCAGGGAGACCGACGCGCGAAAGCAACTTCAAATGAAGCGCACGCAGTTTGCGGAGGCGCGATAAGTCACTAGCGAAGACGTGGTGATGGTAGGAGAAGGGCATGTGATCCTGCAGCGCATGTTAGTATGATTGGATGTGTTTCGGGGTTAGCCACGACATACCAAGTGGAAGGCACCGCGATACTCTTCCAAAGCGAGAGTCTCTACAGCAGGCGCGGAACGCAAGAGTTTGGGGATGAGAGAGGGTATCTCGGTACCCGAGAATGGCAAGCGGAGATTGACGATTGACGATGACATGGGTAGCGCAGCGTATGGGATGTCACAAGTTTCGCCGTCGACCTCCGGTGTCAGCAGTCGAATGGTCCCAACAGCCGTACTGTGGTGGAATGAGCCGATGCACGCAATAGAACCGCAGTGGATCTCGTCCAGACTGAGAGCTACAGCGTTCTGTAAAGGACACTCGCTGAACCCGCGACAGTCCGACAGAAGCGAGAGGCAACGCAATTGCGGGGAACGCGTGATGAAGTCAGCTAGGTAGGAGTGCGGAAGATTTGTCGTGAATGTAGTGAGATTCTTGAATCCGCGCGAGGGAAGCAGGCTCGGTGGCGCGCGCGTTGAGATGAGGATGGTGAGCGAGAAGACATGTATGGCATGTGCGATCAAGTCGCGGACGGAACCTAGATGAGAGGGTGCGTAGCCCAAGCGCACTTCAAGCGTATGTACCGCCCGCTGAGTGTCCGGATAGCGAATGCACACACGATTTAAGGAGCCAGCCATCTCGACAGTATCGCAAGATACTTCGCCCTGTCGTGAAGGCATCAATCAACTATCCCTCCGCACAGCCGATGAACACGCTTACAGAGAGCAGCACCTTGAAATTCGGTCAACGTCAGCTGAGGCAGGTCAAACAGGACCTAGTTTTGAAAACACACCTTGACTAATGACTGGCGCGACATGCTACGTCGATTCATGGTAACGGGTATCCTCAAGGTCAATCGTGAATGGGAACCCTGCGCGCGTCATCGTAGGTATATAATGCTGGTCGATCCCAGAAAGGCTAGTCATCGAGAACCAGACGTTCTATGCAATCCGCTGCGTAGGCCCGAACATCAGAGTCTTTCGGTCAATGGTTGGTGTCCGTCGGGCCTCAAGTCAAGACTCATGGCCAACGCATTTTGATGGCTCCGCGCAAAGCACTGAAAAGGGTCCGGGTACTCCGATCGATTTTGGCGCACTCAGGTTCAGCGTCTCTGATCGCATACGAAGCCTCGACGCGTATAGGCTGAAGCTTTCCACGCAACCTGATTGCGATAATCACTCGGGATTTGTCCGCTTTCGTTCGTCCTACACGTCACTCAGGGTCGATCAAATATCCAGGATCCCCGCTACTGGGCGTTCGATTCTTCCAGGTTCGCGCCTGCGCCTTGCTTGGCCCAGTGTACTGCTCGAGAACGGTTCGAGATAAACGTGTAGTTCACAAGGCGACAAAATAGACTGAGTGGATCATATTGAGCGGATTATCGTGAGATGGTAGTGCGCGATGAGGAATGTACACAATGTGGGCCAAGGGTGACAATGGAAGGTAAGGGACGGCTACTGCAAAGGCGCTCGTGTTGGAACCGGTTCAAGATGCAGGGAGTAGCCGGGATGGGGCGGCGGTGGATACAGATAGTTCACTGAGATGGTTTCTACTCAGTGACCGAGCGTGAACGGGGAGAGACAATAACGCACTTCGAGACCATGGGGTTATCATCCTAGCCACTCCTACTACGCCGATCCAGTCGCAACACCACGACTGAACAGACACCCGTCTTGACTTGTGCACTGCAGTTAGTTCTGTGGGAAAGCGGGATGATGGTTTTGGTCGTCATGATGGTGGGAGACAAGAAGCTTGTCCGGACTCCGCTCGTTCGTTCACCATCTTTCCTTCCCTCTACGCTCGAAGGTACTTCATACCTTTCTCGCTCATGTAGAGTAGCTGAAGAGATGTCCGCGATCTTTGACCTGATTAATGCGTTCGGATCGGCTGCACGCGATCACGTAGAACTGGTCACGGCCGCGAGCAGAATGAACTCTGGTGCGTAGCTTGGCCCTAAGTCGCACACAGGCCATATCGAGTCGCAATGGATACGAAGTATTGAGTACATGGTGAGTTGTTTGACTATAAGTACAGAGTAGCAAGACCAGCGTTTGTTTTGGAAATTTGGTAGACGAACTAGGTCGTTCTCTCGAACGACATCATGTATCTGAGAAAGAGTCAGCAAGTGCGAGGCTACGTCGTATGGCTTAGGACTGACTCAGTAAGCTCAGCAGGGAACTGGGTGGGGAAGTCTGTCTCGAGCGGGGCGACATGGTGCTGTATATATTCTGGAGCCTGCCCGTTGATCCAATCCTGGTCGTAGATGTTGCGCCACAGCCCCTTCCTGACCCTGGACTTCTTGTGGACTTGAGGCGAGTCCGGGGGAGGCATTCTGCGGACAGCAGGTTCAGCGCCTCGTTTGTCTGGGGCATCGAGCCGCAGCCCCCGTGCGATGTAGTCCAGGAAAGAGAGAAACTTCCGGATGAAGGGAGCACGCCAGATGGGACGCCTGATCAAGCGTGTCTTGATGTTGTCCCCGTCGATTACGACGTGATTGTCGGACATGCCGTCGAAGTCCAGCGCGATGACTAGATTCTCGAGGAGGCGCTCGGGGTCGGCAGCCTGGGGAACTCTACCCGCCGCACCCAGGCGGCGAAAGTAGAGCTTTTCATGTTTTAGCACGCAGGGAGGATGTGAGCGCACAAAGGAGAAGCTCACCGTTCGTCGCGTCTCAGTTTGCGCATGCTCACTGTTGTCCCGCGCGATGATGTCCAGCAAGGTAGCATTGGATACGGCTTCCTCCTCAACTTGGCGGCCACGTTTAAGGCGCTTGTTGCGCAAACCGGTCAACCAGGTAGCGAAGGCGCCTTCTACATCAGCCCGCGAGTACTGCTCGTGTATCTTCACGAAGTCGTTGGCGAAGTACTGCATCATGAACAAGTTCCACCCGCCGTCAGACTTCGGACCCGTTGAAGTGACCACAGCGAAGTCGGCTATGGTGAATGCATCGCCGAGCATGTCGAGATTGGGGAAGCGGAAGTGATCTTTGAGGTACGGGTCGGTGATAAGCGTGACGCGATAGTAGTCGCGAACCGGGGTCGCAAACTCCTCTCGCACAGGGGGACCAAATATCCCTTTCCCGGCCCATAGCTCCGAGATCCGAGTGCGTATCGCTTTCTAACATAATATAAGCGACGATACCAGGTCGACGACGATTGAGCGTCACCTGCAACTTATTGGCCTCCACATCACGGTGTTTCACTGACCGAGGCGGGGCCTTCGTGGGATCAACCGGCTGCGACGATCGGGCGCCCCGGCGCCCTTGCTGTGCGCCCATAGCTTCCGCGACGCCGGCTTTGATAGACTCCTTCACTTGGTCGCGAACTTCCTGAGCCGCGGCTTTAGCCGCCTCACGAGCGATCTCAGCGAGTCGGTCGGAATTGATACGGCTGACCCGGTTGGCGGCAAGATTGGCAGCGCGGCTAGCCGCACGATTGACCTCCGTTCGAAAGTGCATCAGCAGTCGGCTCAGGAAGTCGTCCGCCGTCTGTACGTTGAACTTAGATCGATGCGGTGCCTTCAAAGACATTGCTTACGAAGGGATCTGAGGCGGGAGCGCTGCTGCCGGAGGACGACGGGGCCAGTCGCGCCAAGATGTCCAGTATATCCGGCGGTATTTCGACCTGACGCATTCTTCAGAACATCGACGACTTCAGTATTGCTGTCAACCACTCACGAATTCTCCAGGAGATGCGGAATACGACTTGAAAAAATCAGCCAGGCGCTCCATCTCCTCCGCGGTTACGTTCGACTTCATTTGCACGTTAGGCAGAGCTGCGTAGGTGTTGAGGGTACCTTACCTGAGATCTTGTTCCCGACGGACGTGGCCCACCGCGAGACTGTGGCAATTACATTAGAGGAGCCCTTCGTACAAGATTTGTGAGCCGGCCGACACACCTGGTCAGAAGGTCGTTCTCGCTCCTTTCCTTTGTTCCCGGAGCCACCAGGACGAGGCGAGCCACCAGGACCAGGCGAGCCACCATCATCTGCGTCATCCTGCAAAGCACTCTCAGTACGAGGGCATGATAATGACAGGGAAAGTTACCTCTTCTCCCGTGTTCGTGTTCGACTAGACATGAATGATCATTGAGCGCATGACAAGTACAGAAGTAGGCAACACACCTTGGTCTTCTTAGCGCGAGGTGTCTAGAGAAGATTTGTCAGAGCAAGTGCGGAAGAGGCGGCGTATCCAGGCTCACCGCGTTCGGGTCGAAGGCAGGCCTGCGTGGAAAGCCCAAAGCCCCTGCCATGCTATCCATGATGGAGGGCAGAGGTAAAGGGCAGACTGCCGCGCACAAATGACTACACGTGTCCAAGGGACGGGAAGAGATCTTGAACGTTTGGGGTATCTCCGAACTCCTACATTCTGATATGCTTGACTACCACTAGCGCGAAATCACACCTCGACCATGTGGCTCCAAGTCTCCCCGAAGTACGCGCAATTCGGGATGCCACCGACGCTGCGGCACCTCGCGCTGTAGTTTATCACGGTGCATGTTCATCGGCGGGTAAAGTTTACCGCCCCATGTGCAACCCCCTTTCACGATGGAACGAGACGACGAGATGTATTCCGTCATCTGTAAGCTCAGCGGCACGAAGAACCGCGTTTCAACAGTGGACCAGGAGTTGCACGAGCGTGGGACATTCGACCGCATTGAATTCAGGGGTTAAAGATACAGAGCCCAGAGCTCAGTTTTACAATTACCCACGGCAGGGGTACGAGGAAGGGAAATCGATAGCCTAGATATATCGATATCAGCAAGGGCGTGAACAGCAACGTGGCGCTAGAGCCTACTTAGCTTGGTGCGGGCGAGTGACAACGGACACTCGCAGGCTTGACCGGCAGTATTCGAGTTTCGTAGACGGACCATTCCTGCACAGTCCGCCATTGAGTACAGATAGGTGACGTATGTATCCGCGGTTGGTCGCTGCTGACGGGTTAGATCCTACGCACGACAACGAATAATCGGTCTGGGCGCGCCTTCCAGTTCCACAAAGTTCGAACGAGTGTTCAAGCCTATGGGCAGCCCAGTAGCCTGAAAGTACTACTATTCAGAGCCTGGGGGTATATAGGGGTTTGCATGAGCGTACGCAGCGGAGACGACCCGCGACATGGAAGGTGAACTCAAAGAAGGTTGACAGAAGTTCGATCCGGAATGTCCGAGCACGCAAGCTGGACCCACACACGGACCCACAACTCAACCTCATCCTACGATCATGATGGACTGCGAGCTTTGAGCGCTCAATTATGGGGAATCCATAAAGCTTTTGTATCAGGACATTCTCCTCGCAGCAATCCACTGCGTATATGAAGCTGGGTCATTCATTCTGACAAGATCGTACGACTGCAGTACGATTCGTTGTTCATGCCATCCTGCAGGAAACGAGTCGCCAGATAGTACACGCTTTGAACGACACTTGGAATGTCTCGAATAACTCTTCCCGTGCTAGTAGTCAACTGTCTTGGGTTGTACTCCTCACCGTGAACGCGTACGGTTCTACACCCCGGATGGCCGCACCCTGACGTGGTCTGAAGCCTCTCGTATTACTTGAGAACGCCACACATGTCGACTTCGCCGTATCCCGCTAAGGATCGCTACCTACTAACAGTCTCTATGACAAGTGCGCGCCGTACATCAGGTGAGATTTACGTCCAGAGCCGTAAGTCACGACAGCTCATCAAAGGCATCTTATACAGTACGTACGCAGATTCATGCATGCAGTGGACAGGTCAGGAAGCGAGGGAAGCGAGTCCGCCTTTGAGCGCAACTTTGCTGCATCCGACAAGCGCCGTCTGTCTCGGGGCTAAGCGCTGTGCTGAAACTTACTCCTGCCGAACCTTGCAGCTGCCGGCCGGGGAGCGGTCTTTGAGGCGTCCAGAGTTCGAGAATCGTCGTTATTGTGGACGAGCGAGGCCGGAACAGTTCTACCGCAGCGTGAACCGGATATTGCAGCATCGGGTGCATGGCCGGCATCTATTGCGGCGGAAAGCTTCGGCGCAATTTGACGTCCCCATGCCACGCCTCGCAGGGTCTTCCCCTACGATACCCAGTGAAAGGCGTATCGATTGTACCTCACATACGCATCGTACCGTACTAGTCATGCGAAAAACGGACGCTGGTGCGCCTCGGGTTCTGATTGGAGTTACGCAAGGTCTTCTAAACTCATCTTTCGCATTCGAGGAGCGCAAGATCTGGGGCGCGATGATGCACGCGGCAAACCGTCAGGAAGAGCTGCTCGGACTGGTGACATAGGACTGTACATGGACTCTGCTATCCTTTCCAAATACGCACCACTTAAGCACCACCGCACTCGACTTGTCCGAGCGGTCACTCTCCTACCTCAAGGTCTCGCCCCACTTGCTCTTTTCTCCACACATGGCCGAGATCATTCGCAACGGCGGCGCACTCGAGATTCCTCCGCGCGCGGAAGACGTGGTGTTCGTCACAACGTGATCCTGTCCGGTCTTGTGTTGAGCATTCACGCAGGGAAGGATTGAGGCGCCTGAGCGAGAGCTGTAAGGATGCACCTCTCAGTAACATAGCATGTGCCGTTGTCAAGGACATGACGTTCGTCCCTCGACTCTCGTGTTCTCTGCCTGCTATGTGCTGACTAGTGCTGCAAGGTCCGTGCTCCGATGGCTGAAAGACCGCGCTCGCTTGATATCAACTTCGGACATCCCTGTCCTTGAACGACTATTCTTTGCCCTTCTGGAGGAGACAGCGTTCGTTCTTCATCCAGTGCACGCACATCTTTGGACCATATTGACGTTCGGTGTAGCTCCATTGTGTTGGGCATAGGGGAGATCCTTCGTATGGCGCCTACCCTTACGGTCATCGGTTGTGCGGTTCTCCTTCTGGTGTACCGCCGTTCTATCTATCGCCCACCCGGTGCGGCGAACCCTCGCTCAGACGATACCGCCTCGAATCTGGAACTTCAACACTGGTTGAAGTGGGCCGACTGTCGGCAGAAACGAGTCATCCCTGACACAAACCTTCCTCAATCTGACCAAACTAATCTTCATGTACCCTACAGATGCAAAGTAGGTGTGTTCATATCTGGTTTCAGGATGTTTTCCTACCAAATTTCCTACTTCCTCTTTGCTTTGTCGGGGTTCTTGACTTTATACCCGTCGGAATGGACTGGGTATGCTTTGCCCCTTCTTCCAACTTTATGTATGTGCTCTCTTGTTGCAGTTTTCATCGCGTTACCAATACTACGTTTAGCAGCACAGGTTGTATGTCTTAGGCAAGTATTACCTCTGTCATGCCCATTCATCTTCCATAGTCTTCCAAGCTTATCACAGGCATTGCGTGCAAAGATAGGTATGATCATCGCTACCTAATGTGAATACACCCGTGAATATGATCTCACCAGTCAATGACACCAAACTTGGCTCCACTCTAAATGCGACCGAAGCCTCATGGCGGCCGTGTGACCTATTGGCTGTGCTATCCGTTGGCCGCTTTACTGTTCCTTATCTTCTACGTTCACCACTAAGCTCCGAACTGAAAGAATGTCCTCTAATGCTGAAGCTCATGACAGCCTTGTCACATCTGTTGATCTTGGCGTTCATGCTGGAACTAGTCCAGCTAAAGATCAGGCTCTTGGTCTAGATGAGATTGTTGGCTTAGTCATGCTCTTCAGTCTTCCTAAGGAACAGGAAACCGGTACCTGGGTCAATCGTTCGTGGAGAGACATTTGCCAGCCTTACTACTGGCGCGAAGTCCGAGATGTTTTGAAATTTCTGAATCGGTTGACACCTCTTACGGAAGATAAAACAGTGTGTACATACATGACAGTAGTAGCCGCCGCGATCTAACCTTCTATCTCTCGTTTAGTCTTTTGTTGAAGTTCCCAGGCCCAATCACTGGGATGCATTTAGCCGACTTGCTTCGTGGGTTCGTCATATCCGCCTTTATAACGACCATGAAGTTAGCCGAAGCGTCATGGCGGATCTGCTCCTCTCTGTGTGGATACAAAAGCCGATGTGCATCAATCTGGAGTCCTTTGCTTGGCAGCCCCCGCGCTCGGCGGATGGGGCAGTGACACAACCTTTGCACACGCTATTCCTTCATTCTGGGGTGAAAAGAATCTCCATGCATGGCATAAATCCAATTTATGTGAATAACAGCACACGATATTCGCTTGGCCGCATTTGGCAGGACATCACTCATCTTGCGCCCAACCTGACTTCCTTGACTTTCAGCCTTGATCGACGTCCTACCGCTGCTCAGATGGATCAGTTTGAAGCACACATAGTGACCATCCTGAATAATCTCAATCTGGATGCGCTACAGCAAGTGCAACTCGCTCCCTGTCTCCTGATAGGGAGTGTATATGCTATACTTGCTCGCGCACCAAATTTGCGCCGACTCTCGTGTTGTCGATCCATTGACGACAAATGGGGACTAGGGCACCCTGGCGATGTCAGCCAAGCTTTACAGTTGCACCATCTTCCCCAGTTAGAGGAACACCCATTTTTGTCTCTGAGTTCTGTCGTTCTGTGCATGGAGCTCAATCAAGTCTCTGCCTTGTTTTGGCTGAACACATTTCCTGCACACCAACTTTCACGCGTAGCGATCAGAGCAACCGGTCCTTTCACCGGTGGTAGTCAGGCTACTGGAAACGCGATTGGAAATATAGAAATCCGTGACTTCCTGACCGTCTTCGGCACTCGCTGTCGCAAGGCCGTGGAACTCCACCTTGCACTTGACCACCCTCAGAGGGCCCTGAATGGTCATGAAGAGCCCATTCATGTTGATTCTTTGAACCCACTACGCAAGGCTACGCAACTGGAGAAGCTTTTTATCAGTGATAGAAGATCACTCATGATTTCCGAAGCGGATTTATTGCATGCGTTAGAACCATTGGTTGATTTGCGCGCTCTTTGGATTGTACCATCCCCGGACTGGATCACACTCCACAGCCCGTCTCCTACGCCGTACGATCTTCGAACTGTCGGGCATGTTCTATCCAGTCACCGAAGTTTGACTAGCATCGGTCTTTATTTGAATCTCTCTCATGAGATCAAGGTTGAGGAAACTGTTTCTACACACTCTCTCAACGAGCTGTATTTTGGGAATAGCCCTTGTCCTGAGAAGGTGTCTTTGGCATCCATCCAAAGGCACTTCAGAGAGGACATTGATCACCGGTTGCTGGTTGGGAGGGCCCCGTGGAACGAGCTTGGGATTGGGTTGGCCCAGACCACTCGAGTCAGAGATCTTGAAGACGAGGTTATACGCCGTTGGCGTAAGGTTAAATGGAGTGACGCGGAAGATGGGCCAGAGATTAGAGAATGAGATATAGGTGGCGTCATTGAGAACGGTTGTCTTGATGCTGCCTTCAGTTGTAGATGTAGGTGCGCGGTACAGCGGAGCCCATGTGCCTGGATAGTACTATCACATTGTATGAGAGCTAATATGAGCGTGTTTTTCTGCTCATTAATGTAGTACGCTCTCCGGTTGCATGGCATATGGAGAATTGGTAACGCCCGTGAGCCTGCTCGGGGATGAACCCAGGAGTAGTAGGAGAGAGTGACGGCTGATACACCTTGAGACAGATTCTCAGTTACTCTTTCAACATGCTCATCATAATAAACCGATATAGCTCTGTCCACATTCACCGGAGAACGTGTAGGAACCCAGTTGATGGTATTACTCACGTGATCGCGTCCGGGCGGGGCAACCTCGCCGCAACGCGGCCGCATGTGTTCTTCTTCCTCCACCATCAGTGTCCGCTTTCAGTGACATAGCGCTGCACAAACCTGTTAGCCCCTGCTTTCTTTCTGTCTCCTACCAGTCCTCAGTTCTGGGCAGCATTCACGATGCCAGCTTCTCATTCCTCCAAGCAGGGCAATGTCCCACAACCACCACAGCTAGCAAATCAGATTACTAAGCAATCAAACAACAAGCCTCACGAAGTCATTTATATCAGCAGTGATGAGGAAGGCGACGCACGCCCACCTCCGACGGCAAACGCAAGGAAGCGCCTATACTCCAGGACTGGACAGCCGAGTGTCGACCCGTCAGCTGGGAGTACCACATCTAGTGTACCTCTGGCGCATGCATCTAGTTACTGTCGTCGACCAAATAAGAGACAGCGCACATCATCGTCTGGAGATATTGCCATTGGCAGCAGTCACTCCGTCATGCAAAATCAGCAAGAAGTCCATGCGGCTTTGATGGCTCGCATCGCTGAGTTGGAGAATGAGCTTGCAAGGGAAAAGGCATGTTCAATAATTGCTGACCGTCTTATGTCATGTTCTGACTCTGTGATAGGATGCGAAGGAGGTACTTGTGCAGTGTGCACGAGACTCGGAGAAGAAAGTTCAGGAGGTGCAAAGGCAGTTGAAAGCATCTATTGTACGTCCTGAATGAGAGTCTGTATCATGCATCAAACTGATTCTGTATTAGCATTCGGAGAAGGCTTCTGCGCGCCGTGCGCAAGAGTATGAGAAGGAAAACCACGAGCTACGAAAGCAACTGAAGGCATCCTCTGTATGTTCTGTATGGCAGTTCTACGGACCTTGTTATCTGACATCATTGCAGAGCTCTGCCATATCTGAAGTTCTCTCATGCATCGCAACTTGCGGTGTATGCAAAGACCTGATGTGGGAGGTAGCCAAGTAAGAATCACTCTGTATGCTATCGGCCCGGCGCGTTGACACCTTTCAACAGTACAACTTGCGGCCATGACACTTGTGAAGACTGTATGAAAGAGTGGCTCAACACTATCTTAAGCAAGTACCGCGCCGATCATCCTGAGTTTCGCATGGATCAGTCAAACCCGGAGATATCTGAGCGCGCCATTACTCATTTGGAACCCGCTGTGCAGGAAGCCATTCGAACAGCCAATGCCAATCAAATGCGGCCAGTGTTTACGTGCCCAACCTGCCGGTCCATTCTCACGGAGGCGCCCAGCAAGAGTTATGCAGTAACTACAGCGGTTGGACATATGGGTGAGATTTACAATGTGAAGAAACCAAGTGGTGAGATAGGGAAGGGAAGGGCAAGGCTTGCTACTGGCGTGTTTGGTGATGGTTGGGATATGTGGTTCTGAGAGAGGGAGGATTGTTGCAGTGGGTTTGTAGCCCAAGTAGGCATGACATAGATAATCTTGGTCAATACAATCCATTGAGTTGAGAAGCCCAAGGCTTGAAGTCCATATGGTCTATACTACAGGCGACCTTGTTGCTACAATATTTCATGCCAGCATTGATACCTTCTATCCCTAGACTATGTAACGTGGGAGTAGAGCTAGATCATGGTAGGGGAGAGTTGTATGATCCCTAGCTATCTATGCCGTGCTCTGTGTTTAATATGGCATATAAGGTAGGCGAACATTTAGTGATATATATGGATACAGCTGAATTCCATATCCCTTGCTAGACTCACCAAGTATATGATACATTCCATAGGAACAAACCATAAGCCCAGTGGCCCCATGGGGATTGTCTGCTGTATGACACGGTCTCGCTGGATTAGTGTCTTTCCAACCATACCGTACCTTGACGTCGCACATATCAATCAAACCTGTTTACTAACGAGTGCCAATGAAGATATTCTCAACGCTCATAAGGCGTAAATTTACACCAGCACACTCCTGCTAGCGTAAGCCGACATCCTTTCAATAGGTATGCTTGCGGACCGGTGTTGGATAACATCTTTGAGGGACATGCAACACACGATCGTACGTGAACTCGGCTGTGCGTTGAACACTGTGAGTCTGGCAGCAATCGTAGAGACAGTACAATTACACTATTAACTATACATGAGACTATCTATGCGTCCTGCTGAAGGGGAAGTGCGAGAATTTGAATGGCGGAGAGATTGAACGAGACAGCCTTCGTCTTCTGCTTCTGGTGATAGTACAAATTGACTGTGCTGTGCACGGCAACAAACGCCCCGACAGGAATTTCTTTATTCCATAGAGGGTCGACTCTCCCGCGCTGGGTCAGTACTTCCTCAGGATCAACCGTGTCAGTCGAGTACAAGTGATTTCTTGAATCAAAGACAGGGACTATTGGCATCAATGTTAGCGGCCTGAGAGAGGATGACATTCTATTATGACACTTACTCGTCTCGGTTCCCTCCCGGGTGCGCCGGACTATGTCTGTGTGAACACGCCCAGTGCGTGCAGAAGTGGACCCGTTCTTGCGTATGAAGGATGCGGTAAGCTTGCCCGAGACGCTCTCTACAAAAATATCAGTTAATCTGTATAAGGAGAACGTGATTTCCGACTGACTCTTTATCTCATCGCCATACTCATCAACTGGCGTATGCTTCGTTGAGAAAGTGACTGATCCGCCTTCGGCGTTGAGGAGAGTCGCCTTCTTACCGCCGCCTACCATAGAGATCATGGCAAGCATGCGCTCCCCCTCCTGCGCGATGAGGTTGACTTCCACATTCTTGAGTAGGCGTGTCTGTCCGCTTGCATTGTATTCCCGTCCAGTCTTGACCTCGCTCTTGGTGACGAAGCCAAACACCAGGATATCCGCGTGATCACCTCCTTTCTTGAAGGAGAGGGTTTGTGATTGACCGCTAGTCCGAAAATGATAGTCTTCGGGGATATCCCGTGCAGGGTTGCCAATAAACCCACTGGGTATACGTGCCAATGAAAGAAACTTCCTAAGATGTCTGAAAGATTGAACACCGTACGTCAATAACTTGTATGCCACACAAGAATAGCACTGGCACTCACTCGACATTCAATCCTTCGGGAAAGATATCCGTATCAGTCATAACACCAACGTCCGCATACTCAATCTCGTATGAAGAGTCGAAATGATGATTCCTAATGAGGGGTCAGAATTACAAGACGAGACAACGCTATCGTTGTCTGATGCTCACTTTAGGATCGGCGCATGCAAGTACGTTCCAATTAGTAACTCGCACTGTTTGCTCTCGTGTGTCACTTCACAGCCGCGCTCTTCAGGAGGCTTATCAGGAGTCGCAGCCTGGTGATGTCAGCAAAAGCAGTCAAGGTGTGTGGAGAGTACTGACCTTTTCACCTGCCTTCTTATCAGAAGGCCGTTCTGACTCAGGCGCCACGGCACTCTCAACAGCATTTCCCGGCTCAATCTTGCTGCCTCTCTGCTGCTTGGTCTTGGAAGCATTGTGAGACGGATGTTGTTTCACATTCTTGTTCTTCCTCTGAGCTTCAGGCTTCCTGTGTACCCTGTGAGCATCGTTCAAACCAATCTTCATAATCACGTACGCCGTCCGTTTTCCTGCGACCACTTCTTTGGGCAATGCACGCTGCGAGTTTTGTTGCTTACTCAGATGCCTAGATGTGAACAAAAGTTGAGTGGCATTCCTGTTAGTGACTTGAGGAAAACTGACCGCTTGACTGGCTTGCGAACGTCCTCATCTTCGGACAAATCGGCCTGACGGCTAAACGTGGTTTGTGTTCATAGAGATCATCAGGCAAATAGTCAGAGAGGTACGCACCGTTTCTTCGATACAATGTGTACCGGAGAGGTGAGCCGTTCGGGCATTGGACTGTATGTCTTGTTTAGTCGAGACCTTGCATGGAGGTTCACCGAGTGCTTACCTTGAGCTGGCTGACCTTCGTCGTTCAAGGTCTTCATCTGGCTGCTCGTCGTGCATAGTAAAATCTTCCGAGTATGTGCCTTCTTTAAGGTTATCCGGCTCCTCGTCCATATTACTTGCAGCTTCAGCCTGCTCATTGTCGGTGTCATCTTCTTCAACATCGTCGTTCACAACAAAACCGGCCAGGTTGCCGTTCTCGTCGGCGTCGTCCTCCGTGGCCTCGATATCGAAGAATCCATTTCCCGTCTCAGAAGTCACATTTTCGGCATTGTACGAACCGTATCCTTCGTCTTCGTCCGATAGTTCAACGACCGCAGATTTGCGAGACTTCACAGCAGCAGCCCGCTTGGACGTCTCCCGGGTTAACCTTAGCCGTTGCATGTAAGCTCAATGAGCTACCCTGATCATAACATGAGAGGACTCACCTATTGCTCATCTGCTTCACTGGCCGGGGACGTCTAGGGATTGATAAGCTATGAATGCTCGCATCATGCGCCAGAAATACATACGGTGGCTCCCGACGTGTGCCTTCAATATCATCAACTCTTACAAACCGGGCCCTGGTGAGATATGAGTCTTTCGCATCTATAGATGCCAGCATACGTGCTTACTTCTTGATTGCAAGGGTTGGAGAGTCGGGTGCCTTCTCTACATCTGAGTCGCGTACCTTGACATTGGCGTACTTAGGCTCAGAGCTGTTGTTTGTTTGGCTGTCAGGAATACCGCCAGAACTAGATGCACTCTGATAAGTCTCTAGTTGATTTCGTGCTGCACATAATTGACTTACGCAAAGTATTCAGAGTCCATGGGCTCTTCGCGTACGATGTTTGGTGAGCTACTGTCGTGTGAAGGTTCGGTTTCATGTCTGATCAACAGTTCATTACATTGGGCCCAAACATCATAGATCAGCCTCGCGCTTACTTGGCGTGACCCGCACGCTGAGGTGCAACAGGAAGGCGGCGGGACTTCATCTGGGTCTTGGCGGCGGACATGTCTGATATGATCGCGTAGGGCGAGATGAGGCTAAGGGTAGTTGTTATTGGTATTGAGGTATGAGCGAGAGGATGTCTGAGTAATGTATCTCAGTGTCTTATTTGACATGCTTTATACCATCGGTACAAATGCTTAACGTGACAAGATATGATGTATTGCCTGGCTGTAACGCAAGTGAGTACCTCAGTTTTTACAGCAACGTAGTCTACTGACATGTTTAAACGTCATACCATGCCGTTTTCGTGGCTTAGTGAAGAAGTTATAATCTCGACATCCTGCCGTATGCACTGGATGTGCAAATCCAACGCGCAGCATGCGACATCATTGAGGCAGATAGAACGGACTAAACATAACGTCATCTGGGACGTTAGCCGAATCATTACAGGCTTAAGTAGGCAGTCTGAGCCTATACCATCAAGTCCGCTTGGCTTATGCATGCATATCTGAATGTCGTCTCACACAACTCAGCATAAGACTTGGGGAACTTTGCAGGCGGGTGTGTCATGGCATAACCTTGCATGTGCAATGTAAGTCCTGTTGTATGGCCATTAGACACGGATATGAGAACGCAGCCTCTTATTACGACACATGTAATGATTAGCTCGGCCATGACTAGTGAACTGATGTGTAAAGTAACATAAGTTCACAAGTTCTTGCAGCTCTTACTCTGTGAAACGTCAATGCGCGATCCGCAATGATACCTCATATCTCAACCAGTTGACCGCTTTCAGTGGCAGAACACGGCATGATATCAGCGGTCTACACACCTATCATTCTCGCAGCGTCGATCCTGTTGTATAAGACTCTAGCCCTCTTCACGCCAAAAGAGCCATTTTCATCTCATTCCTCTTTCTCAGGTTCCACTTTTCAAACTTCTTCATGACCTCAAACAGCGAATATGTCTGTTCCGTGGAAGGCCTGGAGCCCGGACACGCCTTCATGTATACTCTTGAAGCTCAATCCGTTATTGCAGACTGCTCTGACAAAGGACTGTTGCCTATCAGCCAGTTCCGCCAGCTCAAGAATTTCTCTGATGTCAGTTCGCATACGCCAGTGCCACAGTACTTCGGGCTGACGTATTAATTACAGCACAAGTTCGCACTTCATAACTGTGGCTGGGTAGAGGACGGCTCAGAGGCAGTTCTATGCGAACGTACATCTCTTTCTACAACAAATCAGCTGATTCTTGAAGCTACGGGGGTGTTGTGGAAGTCAAATCTTATGCCTTTCACCAGTCGCCGCGAGTACGTAGCTGTTGCTAACGCTTATGTTCTGACAGGCAGTTGATGCTGACCGCGATTTTGAACAGTCTTTACAAGCAAGGGGAGTTCTCTCCTCCAGGCAGCCAATGGGTCACTCTAGCAGGTCTTGGGTTGCCATCTCACGATCAGTGCCTAAAGGCCCTGGAGAATATACATACCATGGCTGGTTTCAAGCGCCCAGAGGGCAAATTGAGACCGCTCCTACATGTAGAAGCGGAAGGGGAGCCACTGCTTTGCGCAAGCCTTCCAATTTGTACACCGTGGACTCAGATGCATGAAGACTCAGAGATACTTGCACCTGAAGACTTTTACGACCCTCATGGAGTGGCGGCGAGCTTCGCAGCTGGAAGAAACTCAGCAGTGACCACTGATAACTTGGTGCAGGTTTCTCTAGCAGAGTGTAAAACCCAGTAAGGTTTCAACTATCATGCTGTTGAAATGGACACTCACACTTCAATAGAGCCGATACCTATGAGTATCACCGGTGCAGCGGATCGCTTGTCCGACATGGCCAGATTGTTAAGATGAGACTGGGATTCCGCATAGTGGAGAGAGATGGTATGTATACCATGAAAACAGACCTTGTCGGCCTGTCTATATTAAACGAGGACATACCACAGGCAAGTCCGCAACTCTCATTCTCAACTGCGATCTTTAACTCACAAGCTATGTAGACAATCGCATTCATGGGTCGCCCTAATGGCCGGGGTAGAAGGCAGCGTAGGATGACCATGTACGCAAATGGCCCATCTGGGATTGTAAGGCGTCACCGCCGCCATCATGAGATATCCCAGCAAGAAGAGCGCAAGCTCGATGACTGCGATGAACGAGAAGACAGACCAACATCGCAGAATGCAGATGACCTCCCTTTTACAGATGAACAGGTTTGGTAACTTCGTTGCGTAGGTACAAATACAAGATAGCAGACTGCCTTTACATAGTAATTATCGCGTGACGTTGCAGTAAACATGTATTCGAAGTTCAAACACTTGGGTATCACGACAGCACTTGTAGTATAGTTGAATATTAGCTCAGGAGGATGCTACATTGGATCCGATTCAGACAGGCATTGAAATAAGCAAGGTTTGTGCGTCACTGTAGCGGTACAATTGATGTACGAAAATCAAGAAGTCAGTCGGACCACAGTGGTAATTTCATTGTTAAGAAAGAAGAAAGGGGCTACCATAACCTAGTCTTGCTTGTCTCAAAGCATATAGGGGTTCAATATTTGAGTCATATGGGAGGCTATAGGAGGTTGAGAAGAAGCCGGAATCAAATGCACCAACCTGTATTCCGACTGAGTCTAAGGCAGGAGTGGCGGATCCTCTCTGAGACATCGTCATAAATGCTGTCCCAACGCCATTCCCTGTTGCCCTGGAATGAGTATTAGCTATACCGTGCTCGAAAAGTATTGCTCGAAGAGACTGATGGTCATGTTGCACCTGTAAGTGAGCAAATCATGGGTATTGTCAAAGGGGAGAGAAACCGGGTAAACATGTACTCAACTTAGCTTCTTCTCAGGTCTGGTCGAAACACGATACACTTTATTACTTATACGTAGCAGGCCTGATGTGCCCAATACAATCCCATCGGCCAGAGAAGGAAAAACCCATCGTCAACGGGCTTGCAGGAAGCAAATGAAACGATCATCTCCCGTTGCTGAAGAGCCTCCAGCAGCTCCGCTGACGCAATGATCCTTGTCGAGTTTCTTGCGAGTTTAGTACTTTACAGCCGCATCTTTCCGTACATCACCAGGCCCTATATGCCTGGAAGTGATTGCTCATTGGCCTGGTACTAACAGGTCACTCTGTATATCTTAGCAGTCATATATAGCACAGTATTGGTACAGCAGATAAACACTTTGGCACAGGAACATTTCTGGAGATCCCACTCATAGAGGTATGTACAAACCTGGGCAAAGTGGTATAGGCAGAAGGGTCTGTGTCGTTTATGTATCAAGATCTTCTGCATTGGCAATGCAATGGTGCAAATACTGTCTGATTGCTTGAGGTGCAGCACAGTAGCGACAAAATGTACTCTCTTGCACATGCATATGGCCTGTGCAGACTGTTGCTTATAACATACTCTAATTTGCATGCTTACACATCATATAGTGACTGTCCATTGGCTCAAGTCACCTTTGCTCTCTACTTGTATGATGAAACAGGGAGATAGTCTTTTCCCAATAAACTCTCAAATGGCATGTGGTTGGCACCCTAGCGACTGGTTTGTCCTTCACCCCCCCCC